TTCACATACGTACACCTTAAGAGATATCAAGTAGGTGTAACATGTTCTCAAAAAATTAGGGTTGGCACGCAGAAGAATTTTGAGTCAGAGATTTTGCTGGTTTTGGCATGCACTCACAAAAAGGTTGCCCACCCCTGACCTAGGCTATAAGGTGAGACTGGAGAAAAAAAATGGGTGGCTGGTTTTGATTTTGGCTTTTCAATTGGAATTGCTTTCTGAGAGTCTGAGCAAAAATACTTCACAGTATAAATGAGAGCTGAACTCTTTCAGTTCTGAAGATAAAGGGCATATCCTCCCTCCAGTCTGATTTTCAGGTGTTCTTAGGTGACTAAGAATCTTTGTGGAAGTGTCAGACGTGGAGAGGTAAGATTTTAGCAGGCAGGTATGGAAAATTAATGAGAACATGGAGTGAAAAAGAATGGAAAATGTAATCCAAGGCTAAGGATGCAGGACTGAGTATTCTCAGGAACACATTTTTAACAATAAAAACTTAACTTTCCTTTCTTGTTTGTAACATCTGGGGTTTTGCATGGCTTTTTTATGGTTTGCAAACTCTAAGATCCTTGAATAAATTTTTATCATTTATTTCTAGCCACCAGACTCTTTTTTTGAGTTTGTTCAACAAGTTCCTCGTAATGTTAAGGTAAAAACATTCAAACCTGTAAAGAATTTTTGTGAGTTTATTTGAGCCAAACTGTGTGACTAAGCTTAGATTTCTGTAATGAAATATGAAAGAAGTGATGTGTTCAACTTCCTATGAGTGGCCTTGCAGTGGTTCTCAACCTTCTGGCCCTTTAAATACAGTTCCTCATGTTGTGACCCAACCATAAAATTATTTTCGTTGCTACTTCGTAACTGTAATGTTGTTACTATTATGAATCGTAATGTAAATATCTGATATGCAGGATGGTCTTAGGCGACCCCGGTGAAAGGGTCATTCGACCACCAAAGGGGTTGCGACCCACAGGTTGAGAACCGCTGCTCCAGAGAATGGTGGGTTTTCATCTATTTTTATACATTGCAATCAGAGGAGATGTAGGTGGGTTATATGAAATCCATTGGTGATAGATTAAACAGGCGGAAGGAAGCAAAGGGGGAGGGAAACTCTGGGATTAGATAAAGAGTAAAATGATAGACACATACTGCTTTTACTTAGATGGATACAGGATAGTTAACAGTCAACAATTAACGATAACAGTAACAAAGAAGGAATTGTGGTATCTGTTCTGGTGTCAGGGCATTTGGTTGTGCCCTGAGGGGTCCAGAAAAAAGGGCAGTTACAAGTTACCCTGACATTATCGTAGATGCAAAAAGACAATAAGCTCAGTTAAGGTAAAGATTGACCTTGTTAGGGAAGATACTGGCCTAGGAGGTGATTACTCACCATAACTGCTTTAATTACAGTTTAATTTCAGATCATCCTTTGTGGTTACTTTGGGTCTTTGAGTTTGCAAGACTGCTATGCAGGCCTTCCCTGAGCTTGTCAGGTTAGCATGTGGCCCCTTTTGTCCACAATACAAAATGAGAATACTCTATAAACTTACTGTTAGGGCAGAAATAGAATATTGGGGACTAGCTATAATTATCTAATCTAATAATAGACAAACATGGTAATTGACCATACCTCCGCTACGCTTCCCATTGGCTAATCAGCAGGATATGCAAATTAACCCAACAAAGATGGCGGTCGGCAGCCACGCAGCTGAAGCAAGCAGGAGGCTCGCTTGCTCCAGTGATGGAGGAAGCCAAGGTTCCCCGCCTGCCACGGCCCCGGCTCTGAGCTCCAATCTAAGCAACAAAGTTGCAATTATAGAAGCTAAACAAACCCCAGATACCTGCTTTCAGCTGGCCCTGGCCTCGGAGCTGGAGAGGCAACAAAGTTTCAATTATAGAAGGTAAATAAATCCCAGAATAAAAAGAAAAAGAAAAAAAGGAGAGGCTGGGAGTTTCCGTAGCTGGCTTGGCCAGCCTGAAAACGGCCCTCAGCCCCTCACCCAGACTGGCCAGGCACCCCAGTGGGGACCCCCACCCTAAAAGGGGTGTGGCCAGCCTGAAAACAGCCATCAGCCCCTCATCCTGGCTGGCCAGGCACCCAAGCGGGACCCCCACCCTGATCCAGGACACCCTTCAGGGCAAACCAGCCGGCCCCCACCCATGCACCAGGCCTCTATCCTATATAGTAAAAGGGTAATATGCAAACTGACCCTAACAGCAGAAAGACTGGGAATGACTGGTCACTATGACACACACTGACCACCAGGGGGCAGACGCTCAATGCAGGAGCTGTCCCCTGGTGATCAGTGCACTCCCACATGGAGGAGCTCTGATCAGCCACAAGCCAGGCTGATGGCTGCCAGTACAGCGGCGGTGGTGGGAGCCTCTCCTGCCTCCTCAGCAGCGCTAAGGATGTCCGACTGCAGCTTACTTAGGTCTGCTCCCAGCTGGCAAATGGACATCCCCCGAGGGCTGCTGGGCTGCCAGAGGGATGTCTGATTGCCAGCTTAGGCCCAATCCCTCGAGGAGCAGGCCTCTAGTCCTATTAATAAAAGCCTAATATGCAAATTGACCAAACAGCAGAATGACCGGTGGAACGACTGGTTGCTATTACGCACACTGACCACCAGGGGGCAGACGTTCAATGCAGGAGCTGCCCCTAGCCTGCTGGTCTCAGGCCAGCCAAGGTGGGTGCCAGTGGGGGACCCCCCTGATTGCCTCGCCAGTCGCCCAGCAGAGGGAAGCAACTGGTGGCGGTGGCAGAGGGAGGGGCTGGCAAGTGGGTGGCGCCAGGCTGGCCAACACGGGTGCCCATAGGGGCCCCTCCAATCACCCCGTTGGTTGCCCCACAGACCAGCCCTGATTGCCAGCCAGGCCTAGGAACCCTACCCATGCATGAATTTTGTGCACCGGGCCTCTAGTCCTATATAATAAAAGGTTAATATGCAAATAGACTGAATGGTGGAAAGACCGGTCGCTATGACAGGCACTGACCACCAGTGGGCAGACGCTCAATGCAGGAGCTGCCCCTGGTGGTCAGTGGACTCCCACAGGGGAGTGGCCGCTCAGCCAGAAGCTGGGCTCATGGCTGGCGAGCGCAGCAGTGGTGGTGGGAGCCTCTCCCGCCTCTGCAGCAGCGCTAAGGAGCAGTGAGCTGAGTGGTAAGGAGTAGGCAGGTGGTAAAGAGTGAGCTATCCTGGACTGCGAAAGGGTGCAGGCCGGGCTGAGGGACACCCCCACCCCAACCCCAGTGCATGAATTTCGTGCACCAGGCCTCTAGTAAGAAATATTAATCATGCTCTGTTTACCATGATTGTTCTGTTCTGATTAGAGAAAGCACATTCTAACCTGGCTGAGCGTTGTATGCCCTCAGATAAGGGAGCTAACATCAGAATAGAGTCTATCCTCCTTTTCCAAGAACTGCCTGTCATTATGGAAAAATTTACAACCTTGTGGCTAAAACAATCTAGTCCTGGAGGTACCAAACCTTTGCAAACCCCCAGCCCCTATTGACTCTGCAATCCCCCCAGCCCACATTGTCTGCAACCTGTAACCACTGTACTTGCCTACTTTCCCATGCATGTATTTCTTACTTTCCCACGTAATCTTTGTCCCTCTACCCAATATAAGCAGCTGGCTTATAGGCAGGGGCAGAGCAGATTTTTGTGGATGACCTGCTGCTCTACCATAACACTGGGCATTATTGGAATAAATGCTCATGTATGATTTAACCCTGTCTCTGCTTAATTGGCTCACGTAGTGACAGGCAGCCTGGACCCATTGATTGTCCAGTCACAGTACTGCCCTTCTTTATCCCTGCTATATCATTTTAAAGTTTACTGTAAATTTTACTGTAAGTGTAAATATTAGAAACCGAAAAATCAGTTATTGGCATTTCTTAAGTGCTTGAATTATTCGGAAGGCCTTGACAGCAGTTTCAAGGGTGACATTTTTCTGATTTCGTTTTTCCTGAATGTAAAGAGGCTTATTTTTAGGCTAAAAGCACTGCTTTTTGAGGGTCTACTCTGCCTAAAGATAACTTAGTATGTTCTGAGTACACATAAATGGGTTCCTAGTTTACATGTGCCGTATTTACAGCCCCAGGTTTCCAGTTGATGAAAACAAAACTCTCCTCCCTTACAGGCAGAGGGTTTTCCTTGCTATCACTGTCTTCCTCTCCACTGGCGCATCTCCAAGTGGGAACCATGGCTGTTTCTCAGCCACACTGACGCACAGACAAGGCCACCACGGTGGTGGGGGCGGCAGCAGACTGAGTATACGGGAGGCCAGTCGGGTCTCCCGAGTCTCGCGTCCAGTGGGGCACCCGCGCCCAAGGGCGTTTCTCAGGAAGGTGGACACTGCAGAGCTGTGGGAGAGAGGAGTTTCCTGAGATTCCGCAGGATGCGCGTCCCGGCGGGAGCGACCCATGACGCTCGCAATCTCGGCTTGGGGTCAGCAACCACCGACAGGTTCGTATTCAGGTGATTGGATTTACGGCACGCGCGGCGAAAGCTTCCGGTTCCCAGCCTCGCCCTAGGCCCCGCCCGCGTCTCGGTCTTTCTCCTCAGTCCCCCACTGGTCTCTCTCCTTGCTCCGCCCCCTGGCCAGGTCCTCCTCCCCCTGAGGCCCCGCCCCCTTTCCGGTCCTCCTCTCCCCCTGAGGCCCCGCCCCCTGACCGCTCCTCCTCGCCAGCCTGAGGCTCCGCCCCTTGGCCCTTCTCCCCTACCCTCGTTCCATTTAATTGTTGGATTGTCAGCGCCGCACTCCCGCAAGCGGCCGGCAGGTGGCGGAGTTCGAGCTTGGATTTTTCCGACAGGCGTCCCCCAAGAGGCGGTCGCGGAGCTGGGGAAGGG